GGGAAGGGGGCGGCGGGCTGTTTTTACCCGGCTTCCTGCTCTTGTCGCTTTTTTGACCATAGATGGTAAAATCGACAGTCATTGGCATGCCGGAGCTGGGAACGAGCAGGCGTAGCGCTGGCCCGCGGCGCCGAAGTTTGTCGGCGGGGACGCCTGCTGTTCCGAGGGCTGAGAAGTAGGGAGGGGGGTGGCTCGTGCAGGAGGATTGAGGCTTGCACGCGCAAGCGACGTGGAAGCGCTTAAGTCTCGTGCATCAATGGATGGGTTGGAAAATTGCAGGGCTGGAAGGGAACCAGAAGCCCGTTAAAGCAGGTTTCTCCCCCCACCCCGCAGTCCCAAACGACAGCTGCCAACATGTGGGGAAACAGATGCCGGCCCAGTGGATGGGAGGTGAAGGGGGGGAAGGGAAAGCTGTGTTGGTCCAGGGGTGCAGTGAAAGGGGGTGCAAATTTTGGATTCTCCAGGATTCTGCATCAGATGAGATACTTCTAAAAAAAGGGGATGAGAAAGAGACAGGGACAGATGAACATTATATATAAAAGACCTAGCTAACCTTGAAAAAGCAGTAACTGGGGCCAGACCTGATTACGGCTTGGATGGGAGACCACCAGGAGATCCCAGGGCTGTCAGGCAGACTGGAAATGTTGAGCAGACATTGTGGAAGAAGGCAAGAGCAAACCATTTGACTGCGACAGCTAAGCAACTTCCATGTCCATGTCGAGCTTGACTGGGGTGGGACTCGATGCCCAGGGACGTGGCAGCACTAAGCTGAATTTGAAGAGTTAAGTAGGGTTGGATCTGATTAGTACTTGGAAGATCACTAGGAAATTCTGCATTGTAAATGAGACTGACAACAACCATTCCAAAAAAAAGCTAATGGGAAATTACTTCCAAACTGTTGCCAGGAAAACTGCGTGGTGTATAGTCACAAGGAGTCTCCTTTTTATTTTTTTTAAGCGATGACATCCGCCATTCAGTCAGTCTCAGGATGGAGGCTGTGGCCTGAAGGCACTGTGAGTTTTCACTGCTGTTGGCATCTTCAAGGATTGCTTTCTCCAGCTCAGAAAACAGCAGTTTATTTCAATGTATTGGCTTGGCAGAGGGCAAAAATAAACATTACAGTGTATTGTCGAAGGCTTTCATGGCCGGCATACGATGGCTGGTGTGGGTCTTCCGGGCTGTGTGGCCGTGTTCTGGAAGTTCTCCTGGGCACAGAGAGAACTGCTCCTGTCTGTGCTCCTGCGCTCTGAAGATGCCGGTCACA